TGGTTGCTAGGGTGTTGCTATGCGGTTGCTAGGGTACCCGGGGCGGTTGCTAAGGTACTCGGGGTGGTTGCTATGCGGTTGCTAGGGTACCCAGGGTGGTTTCTAAGGTGTTGCTATGCGGTTACTAGGGTACTCTAGGCGGTTGCTAAGGCGTTGCTATGTGGTTGCTAGGGTACTTGGATTGGTTGCTAGGGCAATTGCTAGGGTACCAGGAGTGGTTGCTAGGGTGTTGCAATGCAGTTGCCAGGGTACTTGGGGTAGTTAATAGGGTGGTTGCTATGGTACCCGGGGTGGTTGCTAGGGTATTTTAGTTTAGTTTAGTTTAGTTTACATTTAGCAGACACTTTTATCCAAAGCGACTTACAAATGAGGGCAATAGAAGCAATCAAAACCAAGAGTAACAATATGCAAGTGCTATGACTCGGTCTAATACAGTACACATAGCAAGTTTTTTTTGTTTGTTTTTTTAAACACGGATGCAACTTTAAGAGTGAGTAACATACTATTTAAATATGTAAAAGACTCAGAGTTGATGAACAGGATCGAATTAGTTTTCCCTTATCGTCAGTGCTCCACACTCCATTCCAGTAGGTGGCGCCATAAGCTAGTTTGCCAACCAACCGCCATTAAACGCAGAAGAAGAAGAAGAATGGCAGACGCAACGCAACGTTGACTCCTCGCTGTATTTTGAGAGAGGTTAGTAATTGTTAAGTATGTTTCAAAATCAGTTTGTTTTATTAAGTTAGTAAGTTATTTCATTGGCATATTACGTTACAATGGAAAGTAAATGAGGTCTTTCGTGTCCTTTTTCGGTTAAACGTGCTACAAGTGGCACACGCCCTTAGCATAGCCGCCCGCGACTCCGCAAGTGGTAATCATAGCATGCTCCAGTGTAAATAATACGGCAATATGTAATACATTTTATTGCAATTTAAAACCAGAGGATGTTAATAGAGGAGCATGTAGAACGGATTTTTCTAACACAGACTTTGCAAGCACAGGACGATTCAGAGCGGTATGGTTTGTTTTATGATTGGTAACTTATTTGTCTTATTCTACTTCTTATTATATTGTTTAAAAAATAAATGTTAAAAAGCTTATAAACATAAATTTTTGAATTTGACGGATGAAAATGATACCATTGCAAAGGTAAAAAAAAAAACGCCCCTGTAAACAACTGAGTCAAATATCACCTCATATTAGGAAGGCTAATTTTTGATCAGAATTTTTGATTATTGATCAGAAGGTGCTCCT